AACTCCCCGAGTCGAGGTTTGCGATTTAAGTTCGACCGAAAATCCATAGTCGAGAAGGCACTAAAAAGGAACACAAAGTCGAAACATTAAGTCGAGTTGGTCGAAACATAAAAGCAAACACAAAGTCGAAACACAAATCGAGCACAAGGTCGAAACATAGGGTCGAGCCGGTCGAAATAAAGTCAAACGCAAACAAAGTTTTGCCAAAATTTGATTTTATTGTCGGAGTTTTTTTGCTTGCAAAACTGTAAAACAGTAGCGAGTAGCAAAATTATCTACTATGTATGTATTTTTTACAAAGCTAGAACAGCATATATTCTGATCACATACACGACCGCCACGTAAATTCCCAAAATACATATAAGCAATTGACTGTTTTTAAAAATTTATCAAAAAAATCCAGTAAAAGTTTACATATACACACTGAACACGGTCTGTTTTTCTGAAATAAAAGCAATATAATTGATTTTGAGGTTTACAAAGCCCTCAAAAAATCAAAATATTTCACCTCCAAAAACAAAAAAAACTGAAAACCAGAAATATTGAAAGCTGCGAAATTTAGAAAATATTCATATCAAAAAAATAGTACAGTTTAAGTAAACATTTATAAGTCGCGCCGTTATTTGTTTTTATAAGTCGCTCCATTAAAAACTTTTTCCGAGTCGCGCCGTCACTTTTTTTGTTTAACGCATTTTTGTTTTTTATATCACTGTCAAATTGTTTTATAATGGCGTGCCATCTGTCTCTTATTTATTCGCCTTGCCCAAGTCTTTCCTAAGTCGCGTCATTAGTCTATTTCTAAGACGCGCCGCCAATTTAATTTAACATGCTTACTATATTGCCACAGAGGTTTTTTGTAAAATGCGCTGTCAGACTTTTCATAAGCCCAGGTTTTTTTAAGTCAGTTTTTTCTATAGTATCATTTTTTGTGAGGTGGGCTGTCATTCTTTTCTTAGTATAAGTGCTAAAATAAAGATTCCATCCGCACCGTCAGTGTTTCTCAAGTCACGCCGCCTTAGTTTTTTTTTCATAAACCGCGCCACCCACGATTTTTCCGAAGTAGCCCAGTCATTTTTTTTCTTAACTCGCACCGACAAATTTTCTCTGAAGTTGCGCCGTCTTTATTAGCTCGCATCGGTCAGTTTTATTCTGAGTCGCGCTGCCAAAGTATTTTCGGGAGTCACGCCCTCAGTTTTTAAAAATTGCGCCGATAGATTCATCTCCTAAGTTGCGCTGGCAAAGTCTTTTCTGGAGTCAGACTTTTCTCAAATCGCGCAGTCAATCTCTTCATAAATCACGCTGCCTGGATTTTTCAAGTCGCACCACCAAAAATGTTTTTTTTAGGCTTGCCCTCAGTCTTTTCTTAGAATGCACCGCTCGGTCTTCTACTAAGTCGCTCTTAAAGTGTTTTCTCAATTCGCGTTGCCAGTCTTTTCATAAACCACACCATCAAAATAATTTCTTAAGTCGCGCCGTCAGACTTCTCACGCCGCCAAGATTCTTTTTTTCTAAACTCACGCCTCCACGTTTCTTTTTTTGAGGCACGCTGTCATTCTTTCAAAAAAAATTGCCACCAAAACAATCATTTGAGTCTTGTCGTAAGTCTTTCTCAAGACGCGCCTCTTATGTTTATTCATAAGTCGTGTCGCCAATTTTTTCTGAGTCGCGCAATAAGTCTTTTCCTAAGTCGCGCCGCCAGTTTTTTTTTCAGTCGCGCCGCCAGTTTTTTTTTTCAGTCACGCCGCCAAGTTTTTGTTTAGGTTGCGTCTCCATTTTTTCATAAGCCGCGCCATTAAAAATATTTTTTCATTCAATCGTGCCGTTAATAAAATTTATTGAGTGGAATTTTCAATCTTTTTTAAGTCCCGCTGCTGAATTCTTCTCCAAGCCGCGCCGCCAAAGTATTTTCTTAAGTCGCGCTGTCAGATTTTTTTTAAATTCGCGCCGTTAATCTATTCATAGTTCAAGCCAACAAATAGGTTTTCTTAAATCTTGCCATCAGCCGTCATCATGTCGCGCCGCCTATGTCGATTCATAAGTCGCGCCGCAAAAATTTTTACTTAATTCGCGCTGTCAGTTTTTTATAAGTCGCATTATTCAAATATTTTTTATTCGCCCCGTCTGACTTTTAATAGGCTGCTGCGACAATTTTTTTTATTATGTCGCATCGTCATTTTTTTCCAGTTTTGCGAAACCAATGTTTTTTCCCAAGCAGCGCTGTCAGCTACTTTTTCTTAAGTCGCGCCGCTGGAGTCTCCTTGTAAAATGTGCAGCCAACTTATTACCTTAAGTCGCGCTGTCAGATTTTTCATAAGTCGCGCCGAGAAAATATTTTCTTGATTCGCGCCAACATTCTAGTCTTAGGATGCACCGCCAAAACTTTTTCTAAGTCCCGCCATCAATTTTTATGGCCCATTTTTGTGTCGACAAATTCTTATCTTAAGCCGCGTCCTCAATTGTTTTTACTTGTCGCGACGTCAGTATTGGTCAAGTCGAGCCAAAATTGTTTTCATAGGTCGCGCCGTGAAATGTTTTCTCAAGATACACCGTCAGTCTTTTATCATGTCGCATTGTCAATTTTTTTCAAGTCACGCTTCCAAGGTTCTTTTTTCACAAGTCAACCCGCCAACTTTTTCTTCAGAAGCGCGGCCAAAAAATTTTCTCGCTGTCAGTCTTTTCTTAAGCCGTGCTTAAGGCTTTACTTCGCCACCAAAGTCTTTTCTTAATTTGCGATGTCAACCTTTTTTATATTTGAATCTTAAGTCCGTCAACATACTTAATTTGCTTCGGAAAGCTAAAATTTTTCATTAATGTCACACCACCAGACTTTTCAATTTTCGCCACTTCTTCGCTTGTGTCACACCATCCACAGAACTTTTCAGAGTACTTCCTTCGAAGTCACGCCACCCATTTATTTTTTCATTATACCCGTCACGCCTCCAAAATTTTGTTGTCAGGCGCTCGTAGTTTTTTTTCATATCGCGGCTTGAAATTGATATGAGTCTCACCGTCAGTCTTTCGCATGTCGTGCCACCTACGATTTTGCCTAAATCGCATAGCGAAAAATTTGTCTTAAATCGCGCCGCATATTGATAAGAGGAGACAGTGAGTTTGTGACGGTAATATATGGTCTCGCCATGACGTTTGCATTCTTAGACCCAAAAGTAGAGACATAGAGGAGGTCGGTGGTGCACCTGAACCTCATTTCAGTAGCGGACGAAGAAACTCAATTGGTGCGAACAGAGCGTATTGTGTGAGGCGATGAGTGATCTTCTGCTGTTTGGGAAGATAGCCAAACCCAACATGATGGCCGTGCATTTAAAAAACCACTTCCGCAATCGAATGGGTGAAGTGCACACAGTGCAATGTACGACCTTATGAAACGACGAACCGCGAAGTAACAAAGATTAAGAGACAGTGGATTGGGGCGACTAAAAGAGTCTTTTCTTAGGACACACCGTTTTTTTGTTGGGCCTCGCCGTCAGTTTTTTGGTATCTGAAATAAAATTAAATGATCCGCGCAGTGATTGGATTCGGCTGAAACTTTAGTCCGAATTTTTATACGTCTACTTGATGATGTCTTCTTTGTCGATACTGCGATGACTAACAACTTGTTTTTTCTTGTGTTTTCTTTTGTCAGCATCCTTCACTCTGGGTCATTTCAGTTCACATCCTGATGTGTCCTTCTTCTTCCTGTTCTTAGGTTTTTGTTGCTGTCCTTTTCTATAGATGCATTGTGCAGTTCAAATTGAAAATCCTTTTTGTGCCGGTAGAGTCTTTTCTAGATTGCGTCGCCAAACTCCTAGCCTAAGTCGCGCCCTCAGAGTTTGTTACGACGCACCGACAGTTCATTCATTTCGCGCTGTGAAAGTCTTTTTTGGAGTCGCGCTAGCAGCATATTTTTTTTAAAATTCAAGCCTCCAAAATTCAAAACTTTTTTTATAAGTCGTGTCATCAGCTTTTTGTAGTAGCGCAGCCGCCATCTCAGCGCAGCCGTTAGTAGCAAATCGCACCACCAGTTTTTTTAAGGTCACTCGATTGAAAACTTTTTTCGAGTCGCGCCGTCATTCTTTTCTTATTTCGCGCTATTGTTTTTATTATCACCACCAAAGTTTTTTCTAAAATCATCCCGTCCGTGTTTCTTTATTCGCATCGCCCAAGTTATTCCTAAGTTTCTAAGCAGTCGTTTTCTTGCATTGCTCAGACAGTCTTTTCTAAAGTCATGCCCCAATGTTTTTTGAAGTCTCGGAAAGAGATTGTTGTTTTTTGATTTCTAGACCATTGCGACCAATTTTGCAGTTTTTAGTCTATAGCGACCGAGATCGGGTATTTTTAGATAACCCGGACCAAATATCATTAATTTCACGCTACAGAGCGAGATGTGTCTACGATCAGAGCGATTCTAGAAATTGCGTCAATTTATAGATTTTTTAAAAGTTTACGCAGATACTCTTTTGCTGTGCGTTTTCTTCAAAAACCAGTATTTCTAATCGAAGGTGTCGTTGCCCAGAGTTTTGTTTGAATCACGTGTAACACTTGTGTTGTGATCGTAGGTGGTCTGCATATCTAAATTCCAGACCACCTGTCCAGACTACGAAGACATTCGGCGCGACTTTGAAAGTCTGAAAATAAGTCTGAAATTAACCTCGATCCGGACTAAGAGTACCCAGATTTTTATTCTGGGTCAAAGTGTTGATCACGTTGATTATTCCACAAAAAGTTTTCGCCATGAGTATAACACATTGAGGGAATTACGCAAAGTATTACGCCGGGAGTTCTACAAAAAAAAGTTTTTCGAATAAACAACTTGCTATTTTTCAAATGATTTATTGATATTTTAACAGATTGTTAAACACTCGTCTAATTTTCATTGTTTTTTAAATGATTCGTGATCAATTACATTTGAGTTTAAAAGCTTTTGTGACGCGTGTAATAACTTCTCAAGAAATTCGTAGCTATTCAAATCACGTCAAACTGGAGTTTTTTATGCGTTCATGTTTGATATAAGCTGAATATTTAAGACATTCGTCGTTGACAAAATTCGTACCACCGAATATGTGAATAAAAACTTCTTTTATATTTTAGTTTGATTTTGTTTTAATTTCTTTTTCTGTGCATATTAAACTCTAACAACCCAAAAGACTTCCCAGTTTCTTTTTTTTTCAATATGAATAATTTATTACTTCAATTGTTTATCATCGGTAAGTGAAAACTTTCTCAGAATTCTAAATTTCAATCAAATGCATTTTCAAACTTTGTCACCGCTTTTATCCAGCTCAATTTGCATGAAACCAGATATCAACGTTTGTTTTTATCTTTTTTCGTCTAATTAGTTCTTCGAGATTTTTATCTATAAGCTTTTTGCTCGGGTCAAGTTCGGGTTGTATAGTAAAACAAAACTGCTTGTATCAGAAGACCCAACTTTTTCGAAAAACTTGTAGCACTTACAATGCGATTTGTTTATAACGTTTGGGGTATATTTTGCCGGTGGCTCTAATGGACAGAGACCAAAAAAAACCAAAATCACTTGTTCTGCCTCTCTCCGTAGCACCTTATGTGTTCTTTTTAGCTTGCCTCAATTAAAATTTGAATGATTTCTGAGTAGGATTGACTTGCCAAGCTAACAAAAAAACTGGTAAAAAACCGCGCAAAATTGAATGAATCACAAGTGATTTTTTTCTCTTTCTGAACTGTAAATGATTTTTTTAGATGATATATATCTTTTTCCTTGTTATGCAACATAACCATTCCAACAAAAAAAATTTCAAAACAATTTTCATCAGCAATCGTACACTTTTGTGGTTTTTTGAATACAAACTCTTAGATTCGTTTCAAGGATCTGAAACAAAAACTTTTCCGAAACAGCAATATTGAATCAATTTATAAGAATGTAAAAATTTTTAAAATGTATGAATCTTGTAAAAAAAACAAGTTAAGATGTAAGAGTCTTATACGAAAATGAATTAAGATTTAAGATTTTTATAAGAAAAAGAGTAAACATGTAAAATTCATTTAAAAACTTAACTGATGATGAAAGAACATGATAAAAAAATTGAATCGGATATAAGAAGCCCTAAAGGAAGCTCACAATTAGGCAATGCTTAAGAACTTGGACAAAGTAGTTTCAAACAAAGCTCTCCAGATTCTCTATAGAGGAAGGCGGTAGCTAGATGAATGCGCAAGATTAATTGTGTCTGACAAAAAAACCGACTGAATCTCTTGCCTTGCAAGCTAGCTACCAGTGAGCCAGAGCCAGCGAGAGAAAAGCTAATAAACACGAAAATAAAGTACTAACCAGAAAAAATCAATGGTTCACCAGTGCTTTGTTTGATACTAATCTTACAAGGTATTATATTTTCATGTGATTTTGATTTAAATCAGAAAAAAAAACATAATTTTTCCATGCACGCTAAATATTAATGTTTTGATTTGGTACTTTAATGATGCAAGAGTTTTGTAAGTTTTCAAATTTATTCTTACAAGATAATAGGTTTTTATAAGATTTCGCATTGCATTGTTACCCGGTTACCTTGAGCTAGGTCAAACCAAGAAGGACCTGTTGGAGGCTAAATTAATTGAAATTGATGTTTTTTGGCCTGCATCATGTGGATTTCTTAGTCTAAGCCAGCCTTGATTAGTAATAATATTCCGAACTTCCAAAACATTTTTTGATTTCAACTTTTCATCATCACCAGGGGTTTAAAAGAGATTTTTTTTGTGGGATATGTTAGAAATTGACGTCATAGAGCAGTTTCTATCCTTATTCAGAATCGGGTCTACTGCTACTACCTAATGTTGGTCGGTTAGCTTCGTGCAACTCCTTAGTCCAAAACTAAACAACTGTCTTAGTCCTGCTTTTAGATTATGTAGTTTGAGTACACCTGGAGAAATTGGTAAAACAAGTTTTAGTTCAATTCAGTCAAATTTTCTGATAAGTTGAACAGATCACATTAAATTTTTCATCATTGCAAAGTCGCGCCGAGAGTTTGAGTCTGGAAAGTCTATACATGAGTCGCGCAGTCTCCACCTTGGTCGCTAAGGTAGCGCCGTTTTCATCACCTCGAATGCGAAAGCCTCGAGAGAGTTTTTCATGGTCGCGCGGTCTCCGTCTTCGTCGCAAAAGTCGCGCCGTTTGCACCTCGGTCTCGAAAGTCTGGAAATGGCTGAGTTTGGTTGCACCGTTTTCTGAGTTGCGCTAGTTGAATCGTCTCCATCTTGATAGCGAATGTCTCGGCTGAAATTTTCCGACGCGAAGGACTGAAAATGGCAAATCTTGGTCGCAAAACAGTGGACATAACAAATATGGATCGCGACATTTTGGTCGCGCCATCTCCGTCTAGGTCGCGAAAGTTGCGACAAATCAATGTGATCGAAACAAATTGAATGCCAAGTTTCCGTCGCAAAAGTCCAAATTTGTCTAGATTCAGTTGCCAAAATCTGGTCATGCCAAAATTTCTTGCAAAAGTTTGGACATGAGTCGCGGACTTCGACCCGGGATTAAGATCTTCAGTTTGATTGGTTCTCATAAATGGTTAATTTGGAGAATTTTACATTTTCATAATCGATTTAAACTTATCATAAGTTGAAAGCAGGAATGAAATGAAACCCCGTTAGCTTGCACCGAAATATTTTTTTTTGGTAAATTAGAACCATAAATAAACGCCGAAGTAGTCGAGTCTTACCTCAAACTGAGTCTTTTTTTGTGATGATACGATTTCTTCAAAAAATTCCCAAAAAATTTAAGTTGTTTATAGAATAACAAACATGTCAGAATTTTTTATATTTTCAGTTTAATATACCATTCTTTTTAGAATTTTTTGAATATCGTTTCACTTTTTTCATTTTTTCAGTACAAAAACGGCTTAAAATTTAGAAAAAAAAATAATTTTTGAAAAACGCGTGAAGATTTTGTTTTTCATTAACATTGTGAAAGTTTCATTGTGGCTTGAACATTCTGTGATATCTTTTTTTTCTAACAGTTAGCGTTTTTGAAAAATTTTGATGAGTCACAACAGTTTTTGGCCATTTTTTTTCTCACCCATTATCCTATTCACCATCAAATCTAAAAAAATTTGTACTTTATTTTACTTTTAAAATTAGTTTCGTACTTTGCCAATTTTTATTTTTCAGTATTGCCGTTTTCAATTTTATTCAGTTGCTTCTCATTAACAAAATCAAAAATAGAAAACAAATGAATAATTTTCAAAAAAAAATTGACTTTTTTTTGTTGTTTTTATAATTTTTTTGATATATTAGAAAAAGCATTCGGTCACAGCCAATTCATCAATTTTCATGTTTAAAAACTCAACTCAACTACTAGTGCGTGAGACAATTTGGCCAAAAATTGTTCACACAACTTTAACATTTTAAAACAAGCACGCAAAAACTTTTCAGATGCGGCAAAACATCAAGGCTTTAATTAGACAGATAGCTTATAATCAATTTTTTTTAATTGCTTTTGTATACAAAGCACTTAACAAAGAAATTGCACTTGTAAAACAAACCCAACTAAATTTTCATAACGCAGATTTTCATACAACTTAACGTTTTCTATATTTAGAGCAGTGGCTGAACAAAAACAAAGGCACGCACTATTCAATAGTTAACCAATTTACTTGACAGGGGACCCAAAATTGAAATTGTTAAAGGCATTCAAAGACGATTTAAGTTATAGGGTTGGCCACCTGTATCATGCCTAGGGCGGGGGAAGAGTGCAACTACCTATCAGGTAATTTGGGTAGTTGGTTGAAAGTCTTAAATCAAACCTTGAGCTTCCTTAAAATTTTAGCCTGACAAATTACAACTTGGATGCGAGCATGTACTAATTTTGAGGGAGCATAGACTGAGAAAAAACTCGATTGTTTTCAAAAGTTTGCCTCCGGAGCAGAAACTGTTGCCTAAAAATAGCTTTTCAGAAGAGCTCATGTACTTACCTAGAAAAACTAAATTTATACTTGACGGATCGACGCTTTAAAATTTACTTGATTTAAAGTTCGGAGCTCACTTTGAAAGGTACTTTACGACCTACATTTTCTTAAATGCTTCCAAATCAAATAGTAAAAATATCAAAACTGCTCGTATCAGGGGTAAGCCCTGAATGTTCCGACTGCCTTTTAAGGTCTATGGAGCAGCAAGAACGTGAAAAACTTAAATGTAATAAAATAAAAAAAATTTTGTAAAAACATCACTCCACACGCCCTATTAAGTACAACGTGACAGATTTTGCTCCTATTAACAAATCAATTAAGACATATAAGCTTCCTTGAATCAATTTGGAACAATTTCTCAATTTGAATCTCGCTTACGCGTTAATAGCGCGAAAGAAATAGCGCGTTTATTGTCCCAAATTGGTAAAAATGGCTATCTTTAAACCCCATAGCTTTCTGAAAAACTATTACAGGTGAAAAATTTTTTCCAATTGAGCTCAGGACAACAATCCCTTTCGAATGATGAAGAAAATTTTGTCAAAAAAGGCTATTTAAAACGTCGAAACTTGTCTGACGAAAAAAAACCCATCCCGAGCACAAATATTCCTTTACTTTCGTTACGAAAATCAGAACAAAAAAAATTTTTGGAAAATATAATCGATTTTTTTTGTGGTAATTTATTATTCACCGACTTGTATGTTACTATGGGAAGTATACTAAGTATTTTGCTATTTCTTTTCTGAATGAAAAAACTTTATAATTTTTGTTTCGCAAAAAATTATTCTTACAACCCATCTGTTAATAGTTAATCGTGATTTGAGGAGAACTTCGAGTTAATCAGGGCCAAAAAAAGGGTTGGGTTTGTTTATTTTTGACTTTTTGACTGAACCGAAAGACAATTTTAATAATCACACAAAAAAAAAATTTAGAGAACGTCCGAACTTGCCACGAGAATATCCAATTGAAATAAATCCTCCAGAGTTTATCCTGAAAGGACTAAATCCCAGGGGGATCTAGGATTTTCTGGAGGGGGGATTTTCTAAAAGATTTCGAAAAATTATGTCGAGCAAATTGAATTTCCGAGCAATTCCAAAGTACTTTAAAGGCCCTGTTTTGGCCAACGTGCCTGCACCGCATGCCAGTTTTTGCCTTAAAATAGTACCAAAGGGGCGGGACCCTTTGGGTAGACAGGAGGTTGAATCCTTGAAAAAGAAAACTGTTCCCATACACCTCCCCAACTGTTCCCTCCCCATAAATCTGTTACTGCTAAACCCCCTAATGTCTGTCAAATCTGATGTGTTTTTTTTTCGGGGTAGCAATTTCAGTGTTCTCGTTGTTTTGAGAACTTTGATATTCATGCATACTCTCCAAAATAATTGAATATAGACACGAATTTGCTATTTCTAAGATTTCGAAAGGCTTAGGTAAAACAGAAAACGCCGTTAAATTGAAACAAAAAGTTGCTAGAATTTTTTTTCAAATCTGTTCACCTGTTCAAAGTGACATACTTTGCAGGGTTCATTAGACTAAAAAAATTTGAAAAAATAGCATAGCTGTTAGGAAATTCAGTTTAAAACAATCGGAGGAGAAACTCGAAAACTTTTCGAATTGTCACGAGCCGGTGATTAAAGGGCATCGCAGTTCTTTGGTTTTTAAGCCTGAAGAGGTTCTCTTTTTGCGTTTATTGCCTCAATTTGCGCTTATCAAATATTGCTGTTTTAGGTGCCACTTTAATGGTTGAATTGTCGAGAGGTGCGTCATGTAGATCTGATGGCGACTGCAGAGCAATGAGCAAGGACAGATGTTGCGATGGAAACTGCAAGGACTCCTGCTTCCAGATGACGTAACATTTTTTTCACTCATTTTTTTAATTTTTATTTTTACTTAACCACAAAATTTATTATAGGCATTGCTGATAAATTGGCTTCTCAATTTTTTAGGATTAACGTATGTTTGTCCTTTTTTCCAAATGACCCCCTAAGTGTGCTGTTTTAACAATTTTTTCTACCAATGTTTGAACTATTTTACTGAAAAAAAAAGATACACCCCCTCCCTCCCATTCATAAATCATTTTGCAGCAATTGTGCTTACGGTAATAGACGACGACGCTTCATAAATGGTTTTGAGATATCAAATCAATTATTATTCAATTATTTGAAAACATATATGAAATGCCAAATCTGGAACAACTAATCAAGGGGGTGAGTCAGATTGTCACATTGAAAAGAGATGATTTTTTTTTCATAGTACTAGAACAAAAGTACACTTAGAGTCAATTGAAATAGCTGTTTAAACAACCGAACAGTACGAAAGACCCGAGTCGAGATTTTTTCACCAAATGTGAAGCACGATTTGAGCGGTTTTTTAGACGATTGCGCTCGAAAAAAGGAGTGGTTTTTGAGCGGGCGGCTTTCTACGAATAAGTGAACGGTTTAATTTACATAAATCGCGCAAGTTTTGAACAATTTTTGAGCAGTTTTTATAGATAAACCACTCAAAAACCGTTCAAATCTTGCGCGGTTTTTGTAAATAAACCGCTCAAAAACCGCTCAAATATTGCTTTAAATTAAGTGAAAAATCTTGATTCGGGCAATATAGTGAGCGGAAACGCAACGGAGCACATAACAATTTATTATCAGTTTGCGACTTCCAAAACGATTGTCTTTCAAATATCCATGGGTAGAACAAACAAGCAGAACTGAAAATGTTTTTATTCTGGATGATAAACTACATCTAGTAGAATCTAGGCGCAAAAAAGTTTAACATTTAATTTAATGGACAAAAAACCATGAAAAAATTGAATAAGACAAGCATGGCATTGAAAATCAAAACAAAAATCTACAAAAAAAACTGAAACGGCAACGGCAACGGCAAATTTGTAAAGCAAAACCTCAAATTTATTGTATGCTTTAGTTCATTTTCTGCTAATTTTGATCTCGGCTCACAGCAAAAACCATTCAGCGAATAGGAAATTCTACTGATTCTGATTGGTTGAAATTTTTCCACAAAATAGTCCCCAGGCTGGGGCTTAACCTCTCAGACCCAAAATTTGCGAAAATGGAGGCAAGTCTAACAAGGCGTCTATCAAATTTGACTCACAAAAAATGTGAAGAAATTACTTTCGCATCATTTCAAGGTTGTTCGTATCCCAGGAAAAAAACAAAGGGATAATCGATTGTTTAGAGCCTTGGGCATTTAGACGATAAGTTTGTTTTCACTGAAATAGAAAACTCGAAACGAAGAACACATTATACAATACGTCGTTGTTTGATTGCAATGTCAAGCAAAGTGATCAAAAATAGACAGAACACGACAGGAATGAAAACTAATTCATTCGTTCGGCGACTATCGAATTTGAGAAATTTCAATTCGTGTCAAAATTGCGGAAGTTAAAGGAAGGAAAAGTGCGTTCCAGTCAGCTGACTTCAGAAGCGCGGAAAGTAAAAATTTGTAATCAAACAAAATTTGAGCGCAGAGAGAAAACGATAAAAAAAGGAAAAGAAGAAAACCAAAGAAGATGGCATTACAAAAATGAAAAAAAAATTAAACGGACAAGAAAATTGAAGAAAAGAAGAAGAAATGAGAGTCTGAGTCATCAGCCAGGGTCAGGTGGATAAGCCCGATAAGCACAGCTGACAGTCCAAATAGATGATTACTTTCAGTCCAAGGGTTCTGGAAAGGCTGATACGCCTAGGGAGCTCAGAGCAACGACCGAAGAAGATAGACGAGACAGCCAAGAGATTTAAATACGAATGCGAGCTACGAAGCTTTTGTGACTGAAAAAATGGATTGCACACTTGATGATAAAGTTGGGGGCCCAGGTTCTGTCACCTCTCCAGAATGGCAAGTTTTCAACGGCCAGGGCTGCTGGTAGATTTATTGCTACTTAACCTGTGAATACAGTTCGACAAGAACATGTCAGCGAAATCGACGTCAGAAGACACATGCATAGATCGTTTCAGGAGAATGGTAATGAAATACTAATATGAAGGATCCGAGGTGATAGGACCTTACCCGAACCCGTTGTGGAATCAAGTTGTTGTTCCAAATGATTAATTTTAGAACATGTTATTTCGTTTTCTATCCTTGTGATTCTGTTGTCAATCAGCTCGACTGTAAGCATTGGTCTCATGTTACAGACTGATGAAAAGCTGATCAAAGCAAATGGCTCAGCTTGAATGACCTCGAGAGTTGTTCATCAATCATAGAATTGTGCGTCAATCATAGAATGCATCAATCATGGAATAACATTACGATATGATCAAGGTTACTGCAAGCGCAATACCACAACTCTAAAAAACAATGCCTATATATTTTTCTTTTGCTCTTATTTTTTGTGCAATGGTCAAGTGTTCAACCGGATCCTCTTTTATATCTTTCAAGCCCCCCGTAATGATGAAAAAGTATCAAAAATGGCGTTGTTTCAGGACACTCGGGTGGACTCTGCTCTCAATTGGCCTGTTCGTGGTATGCAGTCCCTTCTTCATCATCATCTTCATCTGCTGCATTTCCGGCTGCTCCTCCTACTGCGCCGACAAAGGGGGAGGGGGAGGGGGAGGAGGGGTTGATTCGGAGCAACATGGACACTGTAATGACACTGCCGGATTGAATGGTTGTGGTCGTTGCAGAACTACTGTGGTTCGCGTGCAAGAAACTCAATTCGGTAGTGGCGAACAATTAAGTTAGTAGGAAAAATATCAGGAAGATCATTTTAAGTAGAATTTCAAAAAAAACTTCATCACTTTTAGATGCGCAAAAAGGTTTTTCTTCTCGACTGAACTTTCTCCAAAAGAAACGATTGCATACCAAATTAATAAAAACTTTCAAATTTTAAGTAACGACCATGTGAGTTCAAAAAACGATCAATTATTATGATAAATTATCAAAAACTGCTGAGCTGTTCTCGTTGTTTCGACCTTCGAGAATTTTTTCAGCCAATTTTATGCATATCAAAGTTAGTACGATCATTGAGGGTCAACTGTGATATACGAATAAACATTTTCAGCCGCAATTCGCATTCTAGTTTTATTTCAAAACGTTCTCGCAGTGTCGCGAAAAAAGTTTCTCTTTTAAGACTACTGATTGTTTACACTGAAATCTCAGGTTGAATTTTCCGAGCTTTTTCTAATGTATTTAATAATAAATTCCTATGACTCATTAACTAATCAGTCTTACAGACTACAAAACAAACAGCAATAAACAAAAAAAAACTTTTTATAGTTTCCTAGATTTACATTTTGAGATGGAATTTTGCGTGGTGGAAGAGTTCTATGCTACTATTATCAGGGGTGGATCTAGAATTTTCTCGAAGGGAGGGCGGATTTTCCAAATCATTTTTTAGAAAATGTTGACCAAAAAATCACGTTTTTTTGGCGCGCACTCCTTTTCAAGCGCCAATTAGCATGTATTACTTAATAAGCATATATTACCGCCAATAGCACCTTAGAAAAATTTTAGGATTGGTCGACCGAAAACGGATGCCATTTAATAATACCAAAGGGGGACCCTTTGGTTGATGATGGGGTCAAATCCCTGAAAAGATAAAGGCCTCTAAAGCCGCTTGAAGCTTTAATACATTCGCCTCTAAAGCCGTTTGATCCATTTGAAGCTTTAATACATTCGCCTCCGCTCCTAACTATTATCGTTTCGGAATAAATACTGGGAATTTTTCCTCTTTGTTTGTTTTTTTATTTTGATGTTACTCATTTATCACTTGAGTTTTAGCCCGCATCGTTTCATTTTACCAATAATATTTATAGCGGCAGATGATGTGATGATCAGCACAAGCAGTATAAACAGAGAACTCCTGCCCCCACCCTACTCCAGAAGGGGTTATAGGTCAACAGACGGTGACAGCCAGGTACCCCAGCAGACAATACTAAGGGCCACTACTATGTCCGAGCCCCCTCCCTATCCGGGGGCAGCTCTAGTCATAGGAGCCACACCTCAACAAACACAACAACATATTCGCCAACTTTCGAATAACTAGCCCCACATTTTAGTCTGGTTTTATTATATTTAACAGTTTGCTCTCCCCTATCAGAACATTTTTCAGAGCACACTTTTCTGATCTTTGACTAATGTATTTACTCGTCTCACAACTTTCATTAATCGGATCGGCAATTTTTTGAGTTGCTACAGCCAAATGAGTAGACTACAAAATCAATTTATGAGAAAATTTTGAAGGCTCCTTTTTTCGCTTTTTGCAATCAATTTTTGTTTTTTGGACAGTTTTCTGTTTCTAAAACTTCAAGGAGATACCACCATTGCAACCGAAATTGGTCGGTCTGTGGTAGACTTGAAGCTAGAGGTCAAGTAAGAGCTCATCCTCACACCCTATTTTTGTCATATTGTTTTATCATCTGATGTTCTAATTCGTCATGATTCTTTAATTAGTTGTCTGGTTATAATTCGCCATCATCCTATAATTAGTTATCTGGTTATAAAGCGTGGTTGATGTTGAAAACCTTCCAAAAAGTTCCTAAAACTGTCCTTGTTGGCCTGTTTTTTTTAAAACTTGGCTGCGGCGGAAGTTTGTTCAAAAACATATTTCGATTTGGAAGAGCTCGCAAGATCAATATTGGTCCATATTAAAAAATAGGTCGACAAAGAAGTTTTCGAAATTTTGTTGCAAATCATATCCCCCCTCCCCTCACTCCTTCGCAAATATCTTAGGTCCGCACCTGGTTATGACTCTTAGTTTTTGTCGAAGTTCACGGAGAGCAAACGTTGATCCATTTGAAGCTTTAATACATTCGCATTCGGTGCTACATGTTAAGCTGTCGCCAAAATATTCTTCAATCTTTTTTGACTTTAATTTAATCGTTTTTTGTTTTGGAAAATGAAAATCAGACTTGGAGTTTGAACCCAAAAAGCTGAATATCAGCTTCCATAACTTGAATTTAGTGCACGCTGAGAACAACGTGAAAAAAATCTGAACTGTTCATGATTTATTCACAGCATAGTGAACTCATTGTGACGTATTACGAAAAAAACTTGAACAAAACCTGATTAACGGTTTATTTTTTTGAAATGGCCGCATCTGTTTCGTCTTTTGGCTTGATTGACAATTTGCTGTACAAAAATGACATCGAGGGACTGCAAAAATTTATGGACGAGAATCCACGACAGCTGATAGAGGATCCAGGTCTAGTGCAACAAGCGAGATCTCTCGAGGCAGTCCGGGCACTTCTGCAACTTGAAAAATACAAACCAAAAAACAAGGTTCTTTTTACAAATTTACAATATTAGCTGTACAACATTAATGAACAACACTAAATGCCAATTGACAAAACTGTTAGGTAAGTTAGCTATTTTCAAAGGCACTTTGGATTACGTTGACTTATACGTCGAAATCAGAGAAGAAAATTGTTTCATATTTTTCTTCTGCTTCTTAATTGTCTGACGCATATTTCCATTTTTGGTCAGCTTGGTAATAAACCCTCTTCACTTAAGTTACACTACTGACAAAACTAAGTGCAAATTCAGGATTTTACTCTCTTAAACGGCTGTTTTCAATGTCCATTTTTGACAACATTTACTTCAAAATTCAGTAAACATTGTCCAAAAAGTAAAAATTACCGAAGTAAACATTGTCCAAAAAGGACAAAAAAACAGACTTTTGAGAGAATAAAATCTTCAATTTGCGCTTCATTTTCGCCACTAGTATATCAAAAAGAAAAGAAAACTTTTTCAGAATGTGATCCATTTTACTGATATCTAAATAAAGCGGTGAATGAATTTGAAAACTGCAGTAATGCAAATTAAACAACAATTAAAAGCACAAATTAGTTAGAATTGATTTTCGTTGGCTAAGATATTGTCTAGATGCTCGATTTTTTTTGTATATTAAATCCATAAAATCCATTGTTTTTGTAGATAAACTTTTTGCAGCTTTCTGCAAAACTCGAATCCCAACAAACATGTTGGGGGAGGGGGTTGTTGTGGGGTAAATTTGTTGGAGCATGAGGTTGGCATATAAAACAGAGACCTATAGTTTATTATGAAAGTCGAATAAAAAACAGAAATTTAAAAAAAAACAGAAAGAAATTTATTGAGCGAACAAAATAATTCAATTAAGTTTAAATTTGGTTTTAAGAATTACATTACGTAGCGAAACTGTGCCTTTTGAGAAATTTAAGTGGATTCCGGAACAGCGACGCTCCCTTTGTTCTTCTTTTGTTCATCCATTTCCTTTGATCGTTGCAACAACCCGGGATCACCAAAAATACTAGTCATACAATTTCCATATGCGGAAAAATGCTAGTCATACACTTTTCATGCAATTCCATACGTACAGAAAATTACATGAAAGGTATATGATTAGTATTTTTTTTCATATATGGAAATTGTATGACTAGCATTTTCCATAAACCAAAAATAATGATTTTTTACATTTTAATTTCACAAAATTTTTTGGTTGTGTTCGTAACCGAACAGAAATAACATAAACCTTGATTACTCAAACGTAGTAACCAACGGCATGGCCTTCTCGCATTGAAAATGCATTGGAAACAGCCTGATATGTGTTACTTCTGTCTCAGACAAACAATATAACGAAAGTAATGAACTTTTAAATTTTGGCAATAATTTTCAAAAATGATTAATTTTAAAATTTGAATTATTAAATTACCAAACATTGATCAAGGCATTCAAAAACATGTCATACAAAAGAACGAGGAATTTTAAGCGTTTTTGAAAAAATTTATGAAGAGAAAAGGAAAAAAATCCAATATTAGTATATCCAGGACTACGTTATACACACAAAAAATTTAAATTTACATGCAAAATTTTTTTTCTTCAAAATATGTTTGTTTGAATATGAAAATCAATTTGCGGTTGAAAAAAACATAAAATGTTTGGGGGCAATTGTCGTCGCCATCATATATGGAAATTGTATGAATAGTGTTTTTTTTCCAGAAAACTAAAACAAAAAAAGTCAAAGTTTTCAGTCGTAGCAGCCCAAAAAACGCTTAAATGCTTTGCCAGCAGTTGAATTGAATGTTCAAAATTTTTTTTTCAAAGAAAAAATTTTTAAAAAAAATTCTAATCATACAATTTCCATATATGGAAATTGTATGGTTAGCATTTTTTTTCATACCATTTTTTTCCTTTTATTTATGAAGAGACACCAAATTCGATACCAAAACAACTATAAAATACCTTTAAAGTTCGACTAAATTCATTTTGCAAAAATGCATGAAATTTGTATGACTAGCATTTTTCCATAGACTAAGTGTATAAAATTGTATGACTAGCATTTTCGGTCTATGGAGGTCAACCCGGGAAACTCTTAACATGTTTACAGACTTGTCTCTGGAAGGAACATACATTATGGGCCTATCCAGTGCGCAGCTTGGCCTCGTAATGTAAGAAATGAAACTAGTACAACAGAGAGATTAATTTAAAAAAATGATACTGTATCACTGTAAGTGATTAATTTGGGTTACCTTTTGTTTTGATAATTGTTATTCAAAAGAAGCTGAAAAAATTGGTTTTAATTAATTCATAACATTTTTTAATGCTTCAAAAATTTTTAGTTGTTTACTCTATTTTGAATCAACTACAAACGATTGTTTTTAAATTCTAGAGAGACATTTTATAAAAATCCTATATAGTTGATTGTTATCACGAAACTTCAGTGCGGGACAGCCAATTTTCGATCAGAGAAAAACTCAGTAAAAAAGTGTTTTTGGGATTTCCCAAAATCTATATACAGCATATAAACTAATGGACAAAACCAACACAAAAATACCCACAGTAGAACAAAAATTACCCTCAACATTTTCGGCCTGAGATTCCAAAATGAATTTGAAGAGCTTGCCGTTGATTTCTGGGCCCAAAAAATCTCGAATAACTGGAAATTTGATTTGGTTTTATGCTTTTTTCTAATGAGTCCCATTCAAAAAAGTTTTTAAAATGTTTGGTCCCGCTAGGTTGCTTGAAGGTCAAGATGACGGAAACAAAACGTGACCTTTCTATTTATTCCTAATCAAATATACTTTTTAATTTGTAAGAAAATTGACCTAGTAACAAAATCATCTCGCTGGCTTAACATTTTGGCACAACAAATTGCATTTCCACCCAAAAATGATTTTGAAACTTGACAAAAAAGAATTTTTTTTACATGCAAGTAATGAATAATTTGATAGGTTGTGCACGATGATGAATAAATCTGCCGATTGCTTATGTATTGTCCTTTGGATTTAAAATCAACAATAATCAAAAGTGAAAATCGGGTCAAATTTTGCGGGCAAAATAGTACAAAGACTGTGGGTACCAAACCAGCACAAATTTTAGCAAGTCTGTTGTGTCGTAAGGTAGTTGAATGGTATTTTGAGCTGCTCTTCCACAGAACAAGATTAAATGGCTTTTCTCTTTTTACTTTTCAAGTTGGTTTTGGCCTCAGATGCGATCTTTGCGCTCTGTAGCCAAACCAAAATTTCTTTGATAAAAGTATTTCAAATCAAAATAACGGTCGCCCGAAAAATGATTATTTTTATCGGATCTTCTTTTTACGGAGTAAGTTCCATTTTCCCTACAAATAAAACATGAGTTCTGTTTGAGCCAATAATCAACTAGTTTTTTTGTTCAAACCAAATGATTAAAGATTGAAAAAAGCCTTTTTCAATTGTTTTGGATATATTTTTGGAGCAAAAATAAATTAAAGAAACATTTTTGAGACAATAGTTAATTTTTTTCCGCTTAATTAAAACAAAAGCTAAACAATTCTACATGAACAAAAGTCAACTCAAATTAAAGCTCAGAATGTTAAAAAAATGATTAAAATCCATTTCCAAAGGGACCATTTTAGACAAAACATATTCAAGGACCATTTTTGACAAAATTTACTCAAAGTTTTAACAAATTTTTAAATGAACAGTGAGCATTAAATCCCAGCTCTTTTTATCATCTTTTATACAACTTTGGTTAATAAAATGCCCTTAATAGGTTTCCGAAGAGAATGATTTTTTTAATCATGCGGAGTGGAAAAAAATGACCGATAAATTATAAATAGGAGCCTGATCTAAACTACATTTTATAATTGGATAAATTGGATATTTTACCACTGTAAAATATTTAATTTTAATCAA